TATGACGCAAAAGAATTAAGATATTTAAAAAATTAAAAAAATTAGGGTTTTTTTTAAAGATAACGAAACTTTACCAAAGTAAGCAAAATTTAATTTTTAACCTTTAGGGAAAGAATCTTTAGCTATGAAAAATCGTTGAATTCATCTTTGGTTTAGTCGCTTTGAGCAACAGGAAAAAGCAAAAATCCCCCCCCCCCCCCCCCCCCTGCCCCCCAAAAATAAATAAATAAATAAATAAAATTAAATGTCAAACTCTCAAAGTAAGAGAGTACTGAAAGGAATCAACAAAGCATAACCAAAAATGAAACCGTAAAAATTTAGGAATAGAGACGCAGTCTAATGAGCCCTAAATGCCTCTTTTGTTTATTAACAGGTTGGTGACTCTACAAAATCTTTTATAGACAAGATGGCTAATTCCACCTCAACTGGGATTTTAAACACGACAGTGTCGCCCACGACAGAAAAAGGCTCATTCAGTTTTACAATTAAATTGGTCTCCACTCTTCTGTTGATCACTACCATAATCCTCACTCTCCTCGGAAACTCGCTCGTCATCCGGGCATTTATTGTTTTCAGGAAGCTGCAAAATGTGACGAACTACTTCGTGGTGTCCCTTGCGGTGACGGATATCTTAGTTGCGTTGTTTTCAATGCCAGTATGGACAGTGTACCTACTAACAGGTATTTAACATTACGGCAAAAGTTTCTCTTTTGTATTTAGTCAGTAGCCCCGTTATCTGGAGCGAGCAACGTCTCTGTACATGTGTCCTGGCGTTTTCACGGACCATTTAATTTTTTAAAATGATTTTAGCGCGAAGTTTGTATTTTATTTTATTATTATTTTTCATTTCAGTTTTTTTTTTTTATTTCATTCTTTATTGACTACATAAAATACAAAATAGACAGAAGAGGAAAAAAGAAATAAAAGCAAACTAACTAACGAACTAACGAACTAATCAAGTTTGTGACAATGAACAATGAATAATGTCGAATAGATACGAAAACAGACACTTATTAAAACATTTCCTACACAACACTAAGCAAAAAAATGCAAGACAATATATAACTCTAACTTGAACTAAGTTATTATGACAAGCTATAATTTACCCAAGCAATAGAAAAAATAGAAATAAAATATTTGAAAAAATATTCTTAGGAGATAAACTGAACCACTTTCGTTTAAAGAAGTTTTTAGACGCGAATTTAGGTTATCTTTTCAGTCCTACAGTCCCACAAACCAGTCAGCAAAACCTACAGACGTTAACTTGCTACTTTTGCCTTTTAATGACTTTTAGTTTGATATGTTAGACTTTGATTGCGCTCATAGATGAAGCAAAGTTTTCATTTTCGCGGGGAAAGTGCCATAAAATCTATCTAACACTAAGTAAACTTTCGGGTGTATTTGTAATTGCTTAAAATGGAATTAACACTGCGATGATCATAACAATCTTTATGTAAAAATTTGTATTTCCGCATTTCACATCAACTTCATGTTTCATTCCTTTCACGGGTAAAGATGCTCCCTGAAAGTATGGGTCTTCATAGCCTAATTGGCAGAGCACTGCAGCGCTAGCGCAGAGGCCATGGGTTCGAATCCCGCTGAAGTCCCGAAATTATTTTCGGGTTCATTTGCAATTGCTTAAATTGCAAACATCACTGCGAGAATCATATCAACATTTGAAAATTTGTATTTTTCCAGTTCACATCGTCTTCATAAAACTAGACCTGTCAGTGAAAAAGCCTTGACATAGACCTAGGGTGAGAGTTGTTGACTCAGGGTTATGGGCTCCTCATTTAATGAATACACGTTTGACGATATCTAGAAATGAGTTTTCTTTAATGTAAGGTTGAACCTGAGTCGAACCTCAATTTGTCAACACCTCTCACAAGCGACCATCTCTCATAAGCAATCCCCAGTCCAAAATCAGTTTCAACAGTCAAAGCACTTGGATCATAATGACACAGAAATTGTAAAAGACAGCAGGCATTATCTTTCCCTAGCCCTGAGATACCAGCAGCTGAAGTCACTTTCAGAGACAATAGAGGAATGAAGCGGTTAGTTTCTATTGAAACTGTCAAAACATTGCAATTGTTACCCTGGCCACAGAATCCTAATCAGACCAAAAGTCTTAAGGAGACAACAGAGTTAAGTGAGTGTAAGCAACTACGTTTTTGAACGGCGGACACACATCAACCACATTCTTTGATTTCTTGGGCTGCGAGTTTGACCAAAATTTTGGGCAAATCGCAACTGACTTTGACAGTGAAGACCCTTAGGTAACAATTTTGGTAGCGTCAAGGCATATTAACAGGGAAAAGAGTCAAATTCCGGTTGACGTGGGTCGCTCAAAAACGTCTTTGTTTGAGCTCCCATTATCTTGTCCTCGCCCTGAGATCCCTGCAGCTGACAAGTCTTCCACAGACAATAGAGGAATGAAGTGGTTGGTTTCTTACAGAAACTTTGTTTGAGTGAAGCACAAAAATTTCGCTTTATCAACTGATTTGATAACACGATTTGATAAAATCAATTGTCCACCATTAAGTGGGTAGACTGGTTGTTTTTGAAGGAAATGATGTTGATTTGGGAGGGAAATAAATTAGAGTAAAAGAGGTATAATACACGTAACCAGTTAATCAACTGATGGGCTCAGAGGCACCTTGATGTGGTTGTGGACTATCTGATATTTGTTTGTTTGCTTCATATTTTGATTTTTAACAACCCCTAAATCAGCCAAATATTTTCATATGTCTAAAATTTTAAACATCCCCTCCCCCAATTTTTATACATTAAAAAATATTTGTAAAAAGTTATTAAAGCAAGGACTCCAACATAATTGAGTCATTTTTTGATTGAATGAATTCTTGGCTAGATATTTAAGAAAAAGGGACGAAAAATAGAAAAACAGTGTTTTTAACCAAACTGCCTCCTTAAAAAAATCGAAAGCTAACGTTTCGAGCTGTAGCCTTTCGTTCAAATAGGGACTCAACTTCACAAATGGCCAGGACAATTACGTCTATCATCCATGAACTTCGTCATTTATAAACTGGAGTCAATACTGTCGCTAAAGCGATGATGGTGTCAAAATAGATTCCAACCTCTTTTAAGCCTGCTCCGAGGGAAGAGTCGGGCTTTCGTATAACAATGACGGGGATATTCGTAGGAAGATTAGAATAAGACCCCAAGGAATTGTGGTATGATGAATTTTATTATTTTTATTTAGGAATTCCTTTATGTACAACTCAAACTGATATCTTCATTGATAAAAGTAGTGTCTTTCCGTCCTGAATATCCTAATTGGCACCAAAATCTGCCTCTAGGCGAGACGACAACAAACCCGTAATTTTCATGAGGGAGTCACCCCCCTCCCACCACTCTGGGAAACGACCGGACAAAATGCCAAGTTTAGAATTTGCTGGTTGCTGGTAATGTGGCTTTTTAAATACTTAAGAATATGAGGATAGGGAGGAGTGGGTGAGGGAGGGAGGTTAAAAAACAGTTGAACTCACTTTTAGCGGAGGGACTCCATCTTTAAGTTGGACTGATCGGATTTAAGATTGTTCAAGAAACTGCTTTGTTTTGCAGGACCGCACTGGCTGTTTTCGACGTGGTTTCACAGAATCTGGCAGTCTATGGATATCTTGTGCAGTGTTGCATCCATTACCCACCTTCTTCTCATAAGCATCGAACGTTACATTTGCATTTCAAGTCCGCTTACTTACCACAGCATCGTCACGACGAGAAAAGCCCGGGTCGCCATTTTTGTAGCGTGGCTCTTTGCGCTTGTTATGACGATCCTAAAACTATTGTTCTGGGGAGGACCAACTAAGGTTTACCAGCTTACCAGTTTCGTACTGTGTTTCGCTACACCTGTCTTGGTTATGAGCTACGCATATATCATGATATTCAGAGTTTCTCGCACGCAAGCCAAAAAAATGATCTTCAAAATTGGCGAGAAGACTAAACGATTCTGCCTTCCCAAGGAGCTGAAGGCTGCAAAGACGCTTGGAGTCGTAATGGGAGCCTTTGTTTTATGCTGGTTCCCGTTCTTCTTTCTTAACGTTTACCATGCTTTGTGCCCGTGAGTAGATGTTTTCTTTTCTTTCAAATATTTAATGGAATAGAATGGTTACACGCTCGTCAGACTCCTTGATTTGTTATATTTTTGCGAACTCGAAGGTGCTCAACGTTCAATAGCATTCCTATCATTTTGATCTAAACTGGCTAATAAAAGCGTTGCATTAATTTATTCCGTCACAATTTGTGCAATCAGAAAGCAAAGGATTGTGCACCGTCAGGGAGTTCCCAACGTAAACTGAAGCACTGTTGTTCTTATCTTGAGATTTGCCGGCTTTCACAACCAGTCTCCTTTACAGTTTATATGGAGAAAACCTATCCTAGGTAGAAGGATCATCCCTCGCGTTCGTTAAATTGCCAGTCTCGATCTACAGCACTTATGCTGCTGTTTCTCTTAGTTGGTATGGAACGTCCTTCAGTCAAGAACCTTTACCGAAACTACGAGTACGAGGTTTGACTGAAAACTGTTTTCGTGTTCTGTAAAAAAAAAACACCCCGGAATGCTTCAGTACATTTTTTTTTTCACCAGAATAGCTGGCACACAGTTACCTTTATTGGGGGATGTTAATCTCTCTCCCGATGCGGATCGCAAAATGGTAAATCTTTTAACATTTGATAAGTTGTTTCCGTCACTACGAAATCTTTGCTAAAACTCGTAGATGAATGACGACGGCTATCCCACGGTTTTGCAGCCAAAATGACACTGGTTCTCGCGCGAGTACTATGCTTAGTATTGAGAATATCTTGTACTCGTAGTAGTTCTTGTCTTAAAATCTAAAGCTCTCTAATGCAAGGAACTTAACCAACCATTTTATTTTACATCGTAGCTCCTGTCCTATAGATGCAGGAGCTGTAATGGTTGCTAAAGGTCTTCACTACTTCAACTCTGTTCTCAACCCGATCATCTACAGTCTGATGAATAAGCAGTTTAAGACCGCGTTCAAACATCTCTTCTACTTGACGTACTCGAACTTGTCTGGCAGAGGTCCTGTGATGACCAGATTAGACGTCGATAAGCAACTGTCATTTACGTACTTCTCTTCCTTGAAAAGCAGATCATCTCTGCAAGAAAAAAGTAGAGCTGAAGAAAACAACTTGCCTCAAAGGGTATAA